ATTAGTATTGTTATACGAATATACTTTTTATGGAAAATGTTTGAGTTTTCTAATAAAATCTTCACAATTTTATTCTCAATGATGTGAAATAATGGGTGTTAACTTTTAATTTGTCATACTTAATCATGCGGGGTTCTACTTTGATGCCATATCATTGTGGATATATTTAGGAATCCCAAATGTGAGTTTCTAACATTACTCTTTTTTTATTTATTGTTATTTAAAATCGTCTAATTGATGTACAAACACCTACAAACCTAGAAAGAAAGAGTTATGTGAGTGAGAGAGAGAGAGAGAGAGAGAGAGAGAGAGAGAGTGTGTGTGTGTGAGAGAGAGAGAGAGAGACTGAGAGTCGTGCGAGAGAGGAGGTGAAAGTTGGGTGTTAGGGCAATGACCAAGAGAGTTTGAGAATGATCCAAACTTTGAGTAAAAAATTTGGTTAAAATATTAAAAATTTCATTAAAATAAAAAGAGCAAATTACAAACACCTCCTCGAGGTTTGGTGAAAATACAGATTCTCCCCTGAGGTTTGAGAAATTACATCTCGCCCCCTGAGGTTTTTATTTTCATACAGATTTCCCCCTAATTTCCCCTAATTTGTTATGAAAATTTGACCCTCAGGAGGCAATTTGTAATTTCTCAAACCTCAGGGGGAATCTGTATTTTTACCAAACCTCAAGGGGGGGTGTTTGTAATTTGCCCAAATAAAAAAATACAAAAAATAAAAAATTTAATTTCTAGAAAAATTGAATTTTGGAAATTGAAACCAAATAAGGTAACCAAACCAAACAAAAACCTTAAGTCCCATCAAATGGGGTTGGCTACATGAATCATTCTTCTCCACGAGGCCCTACTAAAATTGATGGTAGCTATTTTTAGACGGTCATCAAATGGCTACTTATTAATGTCAATCCAACAGTTAAGATGAAAGTTGACTCAATATGAAAAAATAAAAATAAAGGCATTTGTACTATTGCAACAACATTGTTATTATTTGGCATTTTAGCACTGTAGAATGCCAATTATAAATTTGGCATGTCAATTATCGTTGGAGATGTTCGTATGAAGTGAAAAAAGTTAGCATGTTTGAAATAGTTTTTTCAATTGCATAGATAGATGTGAGAGAAAAATTAATTGATTGATATATATGATGTGATATTTTATTAATAGAGTTGAATTTGTTTACTTTTTTAATTTTTTAAATCAAAAAATCTCTTGCCGAACAAGACCGTCATATGGATGGAATCACGATTCAACCCAATGCAACCTAAATTGTCTCAAGTAGGTTTGATTTCGCTTCTAGATCCAAAAATCTAAAAATCAATTAGTTTTAGGTTTAATTCTATCCCGATCCAATCCAATAAATTTCAACTTTAAAAAAAAGAAAGAAAAGAATTCTCCAGAAACAATTTTAACTAGTATAGTTAAATAATATTTTATAAATAATTCATTTATTTGGCAAATAACCATCCATTACTTTTAAATAATTCACCAATTTAATATTTAAAAAAAAAAATAATTCAATAACCTTCATTTTTAAATTACTAATACAATAATCTAGTATTTGGTTCATTGAAATAAAATTGAATAGAATAGAATGGCCAATCTTTATAGAATGACTATTCCCTTACAATGATTAACAGTGATTTCAATTGTAACATTTTTTAGTAAATTAAACGTGAGGATATTTGTAATATTTTTTAGTAAATTAAATGTGAGGATGGACATTATGATAAAATGATTATTCCATTTAACTTCATTTCTACAAACCAACGATAACTTAAGACCGAAATAATTAACCCCTTCTTTCATGTTTTGCCACTTCGACTGGGTCGGTCGGGGGTTAAGCTGCCCGGTCAGCTCGCGGGGGTCCAGGGGGTAGCGCCCCTTGGCAGGTCCTAGGGCAGCGCCCTGGCGGGTTGAGGGGCGGCGCCCCCAAAACAAAAATGCAAAATGCATTTGAAGTTGCTTGTCCACTCGAGCGGCCATTTATGCGCTCTAGTGGAGAATGTTTGGTTTCAGAAGTTTGACCTATTTGCCAAAGTACTGGGTTAGTGTATTTGACACTCGAGTGGGGCATTCCACGCTCGAGCGGACCATGTTATATCAGTTCATGAATCTGATATTTTATATCACTTTTTCAGTCCTCTCTCTCTCTCTAAAACTCTCTAGAATTCCAGATCGGGAGCTTCTCTCTCTAGAAGTCATCTTCTCTCTTTGATTTGTCCAAATCCATTGGGATTTAGACCTAAGTTCTTCACCAAAGTTGGTTATCATCTCGAGGGCTTCGTTGTGTGCGGTGAAGATCGAGTTTGGACACCATTGATTTTGGGGGTTTCATCTCATTTCTTCTTCAAAACTAGAGGTAGGGATTTTCTTAGGGTTATATATATGTTTTTGCAAGATCTAGATGATTTTCGAAATCATCCTTTGATTAGCTTTGAGAAATTGATTATTGATTTCAAGAAGATGAGTGATTTTGAAAGAGGGTTTAATTTCTTTTCCTTTTAAAATAGAAATTGAAGGTTTTGAACCATACTGATTGAAGAAAGATGATTTTGGAGAGATTCTTTTAAATATTTTGGAGATAAATGGTTTTGGTGAGAAAACCTAGAAATTGGGTCTTTTCTTTGAAAGATGTTGAAAATCCTTAGAAGATGTTGTCATATTTATTTTGTGTACCAAAATAAATTGATGTTTTGAAAATTGTTTATTTATATATAAATGACGAACTTTGTGTAAAAAATGAGAAATGTTGTTTATTTTGGAAATTGTTGAGATTGCTCGAAATGTAGGAATTACGTTATTCTCTTGAATGAATTGGATATAAAAGTGTATATATATATATTCATCTTGTGGAATTGTGTTGAAAAGAGGATTGGGAATTTTGATCACAATGGTATATTGTGTGGAACAATTGAATATGGAAGTAATGTTGCATTGCATTATTAAGCATACATTGGCATTTTAATTCATTGGACTTTGTTAAGCTTTGGAAATTTGCATTGAGAAAAGAATGTTGAGAAATGAGTTTTCATGAAATGGTTTTGGGGTAAATACGGTGGTAAGTCTTGATAGGTGGTGTAGACGAAATTGTTTAAGTTGGTCTAAGTATCCTTGGAGAAAGACCAGAAAGTCGCGCGGATAGGTGTCGAGCCTTCCGGTTAATGCCGGTAAAAATGACAATTGGTAGTACTCGTGTAGTCTACTTGCAGACACCGACCCAGAGATTACCAGAGTTGTATTTACCACCCCCTTTAATTAAATTGATAAATTTTGAATAGTTTAAGTTGCATAACATCATTGAGCATGATGGTTTTCAAAAGATGAAGAGGTGTTTTATTTTCAAAAAGGCATGGCATGGCGTATGCATTCATCTCTTAAGACTTGTATAAAATGTATATACTTTGTTAAGGATTTCCTACTGGGCTTTATGCTCACCCTACCGGATTTTTGTGCAGGAAAAGACATGGTGAATTCGCCTAATTGAGGGAGTGTAAATGTGTGTGTTGAGAGCACTAAAGTTCTCATTTGCTGTGATCCTATTTGTAAGCCAAGGGCCATGTATGTGTGGGTTTGAATAACCATTTTGTGTACCGGGCTTAAGCCTTGGAAGATTGTAACCCTTGGGGTTGCTTATTTGGTTATGTACTTGTTATTGAATCAATGTAATATCGCATGAGGAACTATTATTATTATGTAATGCAAGTATGGGAAGTTATATTTGGTTTTCCTTTAAGAGAGCCTGCAAAGCAAGGGAGCAAGCAATATTCAATTTAAAAAATTACCACTAAATGCTAGTGCTACAATACACATTTAACAGATTTACCAAGTGAATAAAAAATTAAGCACCCAAGAGAAAGGAATATTAAATTTAAAAAAATTACCATTCTCAACAAGTACTAGGGCTACAGGAGAAGTTAAAGATTCACTAGGTGAATAAAAAAATTTTACATCAAAAGCATTAGTGGAATCTAAAATCCGAGTAAATACAAAGCATGGTGGTCTCTTCTATGGCTTGGACAGGAGTTGAAAAAACCCCACAAAATATCCTTCAAACTTTAATCAGCATTCTTTAATTAGCCAATGACCATCATGCATGCACCTAATTCCAACCCATGAAAGGTAAGTGTAACATTTACCTATAGGCAGCAGTTTCATTTGTGCCCAAACAAATCCCTTTGGTTGAGTATGCTTTTAAATTTTATAAAATATATAATATTAAAAAAAAACTACATTTTACTTGGTCAAACACAAAACCTTCTTTTCAGTCCAGGTAATCCAAACACCACATAAAAAAAAATTGCCGACAGCTCCTCAAATTGCACAAATAACGCTGTCAGCACTCCCTTTCAAGGCCACAAAAGTTATGATCTCATCATATGTCAGCTATTTTTTTATAGGCAAAGTTATGATGTCATCATAATGTCATCTCAACCATTTTTTTATATGCAAATTCAATAATCTCATCCGAGGGTGAGGGTGAGGGTGAGGGTGGAGAAGAAAGGCACACAATCAATAACAGCGAAAAAAAATATAGAATAGCAAAGGATAATGAACAAAAATGGATGGAAACATTGTCCAATAGGGGGCCACAGCACTATAACTATAAAAAAACGCTGCTAATTGTTTTTGTGACGTTTAGTACCAAACGTCGAAGATGCGGCCGTCGCTATAGCTTTATGACGCTTTAAAAGCGTCGCTATATTTTTTTCAAAACGCCGTCATTTCTTTTTTTTAAAATTTGATTTTAGAGCTTAGGTGGCGTTTCTCAAAACGCCGTGATATCCTCCTTTTTTTTTTTATTTAAATTGTGCTGATTTTATGTGATTGAACTAAAAAAAATACCTCTAATAAAATTGAACAGCACTAATATGAAATAATAACTCTCATTCAAATAGCAGAATTAATTCACTTTCCCATTCAATTTAATATCCAATCACCATTACCCACAAAATAACATATCCACAAATGATGTTTTAACATTGCCTACAAAATAACATATCCAAAAATTCAATTCACAATTCTCAACAAAAAAATTACTACTTTGTATACAAAGCCAAAAGATAAGAAGAAAGGGAACCAAAACACCCAACCCCCAAGTCAGATCAAAGGAAAAAAAGAAAAAAGAAGAGAAATAAGAATCCAAAGAAAAGCCTCAAGCGTTTTGTCATGGATGGACTGAAGACTGAAATCATCATCAGGCTCATAATCATTTTGCCAAAGATCAACTCCACCCATATAGCTGCCTATGTTGAGCACAATTAAACCCTCAGCATCCTGGAGGAAAAGTTAAAAGAAAAAAATTTAAAAATATGAAATAACAATAGTAATAATAATTTAAAACAACAGTAACAATAAAGATCTTAGGTTATTTGAGTTGAAGTACCTTTGGGATTGGGATGTCTTTCCCATCAACTTCAAGCCAAACTTGCCATGGTAAGTCAGCACAAGTTTTGTCCATTATATCCCTTGCACCTTCTTTTGCATATCGCAATTTATTACAGATCTAGAAATTTCAATTAGCAAATGGTAAAATTGTGTGTGCAAAGCAAGGGAGCAAGCAATATTCAATTTAAAAAATTACCACTAAATGCTAGTGCTACAATACACATTTAACAGATTTACCAAGTGAATAAAAAATTAAGCACCCAAGAGAAAGGAATATTAAATTTAAAAAAATTACCATTCTCAACAAGTACTAGGGCTACAGGAGAAGTTAAAGATTCACTAGGTGAATAAAAAAATTTTACATCAAAAGCATTAGTGGAATCTAAAATCCGAGTAAATACAAAGCATTGTGGTCTCTTCTATGGCTTGGACAGGAGTTGAAAAAACCCCACAAAATATCCTTCAAACTTTAATCAGCATTCTTTAATTAGCCAATGACCATCATGCATGCACCTAATTCCAACCCATGAAAGGTAAGTGTAACATTTTCCTATAGGCAGTAGTTTCATTTGTGCCCAAACAAATCCCTTTGGTTGAGTATGCTTTTAAATTTTATAAAATATATAATATTAAAAAAAAACTATATTTTACTTGGTCAAACACAAAACCTTCTTTTCAGTCCAGGTAATCCAAACACCACATAAAAAAAATTGCCAACAGCTCCTCAAATTTCACAAATAATGCTGTCAGCACTCCCTATCAAGGCCACAAAAGTTATGATCTCATCATATGTCAGCTATTTTTTTATAGGCAAAGTTATGATGTCATCATAATGTCATCTCAACCATTTTTTTATATGCAAATTCAATAATCTCATCCGAGGGTGAGGGTGGAGAAGAAAGGCACGCAATCAATAACAGCGAAAAAAAATATAGAATAGCAAAGGATAATGAACAAAAATGGATGGAAACATTGTCCAATAGGGGGCCACAGCGCTATAGCTATCAAAAACGCTGCTAATTGTTTTTGTGACGTTTAGTACCAAACGTCGAAGATACAGCCGTCGCTATAGCTTTATAACGCTTTAAAAGCGTCGCTATATTTTTTTCAAAACGCCGTCATTTCTTTTTTTAAAAAAATTGATTTTAGAGTTTAGGTGGCGTTTCTCAAAACGCCGTGATATCCTCCCCCCCCTTTTTTTTAAATTGTGCTGATTTTATGTAATTGAACTAAAAAAAATACCTGTAATAAAATTGAACAGCACTAATATGAAATAATAACTCTCATTCAAATAGTAAATGCATAATTAATTCACTTTCCCATTCAATTTAATATCCAATCACCATTACCCACAAAATAGCATATCCACAAATGATGTTTTAGCATTACCTACAAAATAACATATCCAAAAATTCAATTCAGAATTCTCAACAAAAAAATTACTACTTTGTATACAAAGCCAAAAGATAAGAAGAAAGGGAACCAAAACACCCAACCCCCAAGCTAGATCAAAGGAAAAAAAGAAAAAAGAAGAGAAATAAGAATCCAAAGAAAAGCCTCAAGCGTTTTGTCATGCATGAAACTGAAGACTGAAATCATCATCATGCTCATAATCATTTTGCCAAAGATCAACTCCACCCATATAGCTGCCTATGTTGAGCATCATTAAACCCTCAGCATCCTGGAGGAAAAGTTAAAAGAAAAAAATTTAAAAATATGAAATAACAATAGTAATGATAATTTAAAACAATAATAACAATAAAGATCTTAGGTTATTTGAGTTGAAGTACCTTTGGGATTGGGATGTCTTTCCCATCAACTTCAAGCCAAACTTGCCGTGGTAAGTCAGCACAAGTTCTGTCCATTATATCCCTTGCACCTTCTTTTGCATATCGCAATTTATTTACAGACTAATCTAGAAATTTCAATTAGCAAATGGTAAAATTGTGTGTGCAAAGCAAGGGAGCAAGCAATCTTCAATTTAAAAAATTACCACTCAATACTAGTGCTACAATACACATTTAACAGATTTACCAAGTGAATAAAAAATTAAGCACCCAAGAGAAAGCAATATTCAATTTAAAAAAATTACCATTCTCAACAAGTACTAGGGCTACAGGAGAAGTTAAAGATTCACCAAGTGAATAAAAAAATTTTACATCAAAAGCATTAGTGGAATCTAAAATCCGAGTAAATACAAAGCATGGTGGTCTCTTCTATGGCTTGGACAGGAGTTGAAAAAGCCCCACAAAATATCCTTCAAACTTTAATCAGCATTCTTTAATTAGCCAATGACCATCATGCATGCACCTAATTCCAACCCATGAAAGGCAAGTGTAACATTTGCCTATAGGCAGCAGTTTCATTTGTGCCCAAACAAATCCCTTTGGCTGAGTATGCTTTTAAATTTTATAAAATATATAATATTAAAAAAAAACTATATTTTACTTGGTCAAACACAAAACCTTCTTTTCAGTCCAGGTAATTCAAACACCACATAAAAAAAAAAACTGCCGACAGCTCCTCAAATTGCACAAATAATGCTGTCAGCACTCCCTATCAAGGCCACAAAAGTTATGATCTCATCATATGTCAGCTATTTTTTTATAGGCAAAGTTATGATTTCCTCATAATGTCCTCTCAGCCATTTTTTTATGTGCAAATTCAATAATCTCATAATAAACCAAACGATATATAAATGCGTAGAATGTCCCTAAAAAAAGTTTAAGTCCATATCCATTACATACAAGATATCTTGTCTTCTTTAGCTCAAGTTTCATATCTTATGTGTTGTTGGGGCAATAAAAAATCACAAATACAATTAAGTAATATTACAAACTCACCTTTATCAACTCAAAAATTACTCAAAAATTAATCTCTACTACATCCTATATGGATCTCACATTAACTCCACATTACACAAATTAATTTTCATCACACAATCACCCACTTAAAAAATTCTGGGTTAGTCTGAATTAGTAGACTTTCCTAATACAATTAAGTAAACAAGTCTTGTCCAATCATATTATCATCTTTACCACAAAGTGAAATTACTCATTAAATAATACTATTCTATAATATCAGTATTATATTTAATATTTTGTTCATTGAAAGCAACCTAAAAGACCATCATTTTTTTAGTGAGTCCTTCCTTTTGAAGTTGCTTCCTCAATTATTTACAGCTTGTTGAATTGGTTGTGTACTTCAATTAATGCAATTCTCTTTTGAAAAATCATTTCCATGAGCTTGACTTTTCTATTCAATTTGGCGTGTTGAATAGGTTGGGCACTTCAATTAATGCAATTCTCTTCTTAAAAATCATTTCCATGAGCTTGACTTTTCTATTCAAATTGGCCTGTAGGATTCATCTTCAGTTTTGCGTGAGAAATAAATGGTGGTTATGAGTATTAATCCAAACTAATATTTTTTAAAATGTCCAAGTTCGAAGAGGAAATTATAATTTGCTACACCAGTGAATATTTTATTAGTTAAAATAGTGACATTTATCACTTTTATGTTTTTTTTAAGGAGATAATATGACACTAGTTTTGAAATAAGTGGTAGAAAGCAAAATTAAATTGGTTCATAATTTTTTTTTTTAAAAAAAAAATACAATGAAAGTCTCATAACCAAAGTCACTTCAATTCAAAACAAAACAAGGCAAAGTCTTATAACCAAATTCGCTTCGATTTATTACTAAACACTGCAAAATCCTATAATCAAACAGTAATTCTAACTGCAATTATTAAATTGTGTGTAGTTAAATGGGCCAATGCAATTTTTTAAAAAAATGGGATTTAATCGGTAAATAACCAAATGATTATATCTAATTGTCCCTAATAGTTAGACCTAATTACTAGGTCAAGTTTTTTTTTTTAAAAAAATTATAAATTTTCTTTGAAATATCTCAAAAAAGCAATCCAAAAATAATTTGTTTGGTTTCATTTTTTAAAATGTGTTCAATGAAAAACTAAAGTTAATGAAAATTCATTTTGGTGAAAAAATAATGAAAAATCCAAAAGCACTTAACATTTTCATATTGTTCTCCTTTTTCCACACACAAAAATAAATAAATAAATAAATAAATAATAGTTTTAAAATTCAATAACATCTTTTTGATATTTATTTTCACCAAACTAGTTTTTTAATATTTTTATTAAAAAATAGATTATGATAAAAATTGTGATTATGGTGCTATTTGATAAAATTAAAAATTGAAAATTAAAAATTAAAAATTAAGTATTGAAAACTGAATATTGAATTTTTTAAGTTGAAAAACTGTTTGAAAAGAATTTAAATTCTTAATTAAAAATAAGTTGTTTGATATGTATAAAATCAAATTTAAAATTTATTATTTTTAAATTATATATTTCAATTTTTATATTGTGATGGTGGTGTGGTAGTGGCAGTGATAGTGGTGACAGTGGCATAGTGGTGGTAGTGGCAGCGGTACTGGTAGTGGCATGGTGGTGATGATGGTAATAGTAGTGGTAGTAAATGATGGTGGTGCTTATAGTAATAATGACAATGGTAATACATGTGATGGTAGTAGTGGCAGCGGTAGCAGCCGTAGTGGTGGCTATGGCATGGTGGTGGTGGTGGTAGCGGTAGCAGTAGTGATGGTGGTGGTAGTAGTGGCGGTGGCAGTAATGACGGTGGCATGATGATGGTAGTGGTTGTAGTAGTGGTGATAGTGATGGCGGTGGAAGTGACATGGTGGTAGTGATGGTGGTAGCGGTTGTGATGATGGTGGTGGTGGTGGTAATAGTGACGGTGGCATGATGGTGGAGGTTGTGAATAATGGTGGTGCTTATAGTAATAATGACAATGGTAATACATGTGATGGTAGTAGTGGCAGCGGTAGCAGCCGTAGTGGTGGCTATGGCATGGTGGTGGTGGTGGTAGCGGTAGCAGTAGTGATGGTGGTGGTAGTAGTGGCGGTGGCAGTAATGACGGTGGCATGATGTTGGTAGTGGTTGTAGTAGTGGTGATAGTGATGGTGGTGGAAGTGACATGGTGGTTGTGATGGTGGTAGCGGTTGTGATGATGGTGGTGGTGGTGGTAATAGTGACGGTGGCATGATAGTGGAAGTTGTGGTAATAGTGGTAGTAGTAGCGGTGGTGGTGGGGGGAATTTATAATAGTATATATTGATACTTATGTTTAAATGTTAAATCATATTATCAAACACCCCTATGTCTTTCTCACAAATAAAGATTCAAATCTAATGTCTTATATGCTTTTATATTTTTTTTGAACAGTATATCCTTTTATATGTCTTATATCCTTTTCTA